TCAAAAAGTTGAAAGAAAAAAATCAAAATGTAAAGGTGAGTTCACACCGATTTCAAATATCACCATAGACAGTAGTTTCGTTGTCACCCAGTATATGCAGTATATTAATTTTTTTGATGTAGAGGGAGGGGGGCCTTGAAAAAAATTGCGGGGGGGCCCCGATGATCTTGGCACGCCACTGTGACCCTACATTCTTTGCGATAATCACTTTGCGTCGAGATTACCTCTGCACTGCTTTTAATTTTTTATAGTAGAGTTATTTTCAAGAAAAACAAGAATATCTCTAACGTCGTTAGAAACAAATTTGCTGATTATAAATTAATCATAGTCGCGTTACCATGATCTCTTTTAAAAAAGAAAAAATAATAATAATTGGGTCACTAAAAATCAAAAGTTGTTTATATTTCGCTTGTTTCAGAAATAACATACACAGTACTTGACACCAAAATTCCAATGCGGATTTCAGATTGTATTTAATGGATGCAACAAAACAAGGTTTTATACTGCAAACACGCCTCTGATTCAAAAATAGGAATACCACTTTGATAACGGTCGATAAAGATGGGTATGGACCGAAATATTTTTTTTATTTTCTTCGAGGAATTCTGTCCTCGGTCAAGTTTTGTAGTTACATAATAATTTAAATGGTTATATATACAGGGTATTTCAGAAATACTTGACCATGAACAGGGTTATTCATTATAAATTACCCACCCTTTATCATTGTTAATATCGCATATACAAAAAATATTTTAAATAAAAGTTGTGTGGCTGTAACTGAATTTTGTTAAAATGCCATATATAAACATATTAGTGTAAATTTTTCGGGATATAAAAAAAATTTCTTTAATAAATTAATTAAATATTTTTAAACTCAAGAAAAAAGTGTCCAAAAATTTAATAATAGGTATATATTACATACGTAGGCCTCATGTTTATATGAAGTTTTCTTCATTAAAGTAATTTTAAAAATCGTGTAGATGCCATCACAAATTGAGTTTGCTGATTTTCTCATATCAATAAAAACTCCCAGGCCGGATATTTTAGTAATAGAGATATTTTAATTCTGTAAAAGCCAGTTTTAGATATAAATTGATTTTAAATAGATCAATATGTAGATGGCGCTGCGCTCAATAATTTTGTTTTAATGGGAGGATCTTTCTTGTGTAGCGCATCTTATAAAAAATGCATTTTTAAGCAGATTTTGTTTTATGAACTAATTCGATAAATCTAGCCATTTTTAATATACAGAGTGGGTCACTCAAAACAGTTTACTCCTGTTTTTCAGCATTAATCAATGGATTTTAAGAAAATGCTAAAAAAGGTCGATTTTTATTTCAAATTAAAAACATTTTTACAATACTGATATCTGTCATGTGTCAACCCCCTCCCTTTCACTTCTCCAACACCTTAATTTTAAATAGGCAATGTACCATGTATAGCACGTCATTAAAAAGGTAATTTTATGGGGAATTTAGAAATATGACTGATCATTTCGATACTTTTAACTGTACCTCCCTCTATCGGGATAAAAAACTGTACGTATTATAAAGTGTGACACCTTATTTGAAAGCAAATTTAATTACTAATTCAATGCACCACATAACATTAATTAAATATCCTCCATATTGCACTTGCAATAGCTTGAAAATTAGTCATGCATTATTTTAAATATTATTGCTAAATTTATTTTGTTGCAAGTGCAATATGGAAATATTTATATTAATGTTGTGGTGCATTTAATTAGTAATTAAATTAGCTTTCAAATGAAGTGTCACACTTTATAATACGTTACAAGTTTTTTTATTCCGATAGAGGGCGCTAAAATTAAAAGTATCGCAATAAACGGTTATATTTCTAAATTCCCCATAAAATTACCTTTTCACATGGTACATTCCTTATTTAAAATTAAGGGGTTGGAGAAGTGGAAGGGAGGGGGTTGACACATGACGGATGTCTGTATAGTAAAAATATGTTCAATTTGAAATAAAAATCGACCTGTTTTAGCATTTTCTAAAAATCCAATGATAGATGCCGAAAAACAGGATGAAACTGTTTTGAGTGACTCACTCTATATCAAAAATGGCTAGATTTATCGAATTAGTTTATAAAACAAAATATGATTTAAAATGCATTTTTTATAAGATGCGCTATATAAGAAAGAACTTTCCATCGAAAAAAAAAAAAAATATTGAGCGCAGCGCCATCTACATATTGACCTATTTAAAATTAATTTATATCTAAAACTGAAGCTCTTCTAGCGCTCTATGAACTGGCTTTTACAGAATTAAAATATCTCTATTACTTACCAAAATATCCGGCCTGAGAGTTTTTATTGGTACACCCTGTATGATGCCATCACCAAATTTATATGGGGCACCCCCTTCTAACAAAAAAAGATTCATTGAAATCGGACAACGTGGTAAAGAATTATCGCTGAACATACATAAAAAACCATGTGAAGTCCGTACTTTAGTTGTTAAAGTTGATAATCATGTTGATAGATTTAGGTCAAGCGCTGCTGGCGCTTATAAGGTATCATATAGAAGAGCTTTCTTCTTTTGTAAAAATAAACTATCTAATGGAATGCAATCTTTATATTTTTTGTCCATTCTACACTATATTCGTAATTTTTTTCTATTTTTTTCTGAGCGTTACTCTTGGAAACAAGTTTCAACTTTCAAAGAGATGTAAGACAAACGAATGTTTTATTCATTTTTTGTGTTCGAACTATATACACCTTATTCTCATCGTTCGTGATTCTTATCATATTTTTCTGAGCTTTACGCAGACGAAAGGTATTATATATTTTTAAAATCGTGCACAAAGCTTTCATTTGATACCCCCCAATTTTTTTTCTAAATTCCATAATAAAATTGATCTTGTTTGCCAAATTGGGGACGAACACTAAAAATATATATTTTTTTGTTGTATCCGTGAAATCTTCACGTCACTATGTTTTTGATAGCATTTTATCAAAATCAGTGATAACCACAAAACAACATTTTCCTTTATGCGTGAACTCGTGATACACTAGAAAATGTATCAATATCATAGTAGGTTCTTATTGTTTTTTTGTTTATTCAGGCGTCATTTTAATTTTGTTTTTACTGTTTCATTATCTTTGTGTAACTAATCGATATTTTAGGTATTATTTTTTTTTTAATCAAAAAGCATTATTATTAATTAATTTTAATTTAACTGCATACTTTTTAGTCATCATTACAAAAAAAAAACAAAAATCGAGAAACACTTAATTGGTTGTCCCACCTTATCTGGACAAACTCATAGCATAAAAGAAACGATTTGATTTTGAACGAAAAACCGAAATGTGTGAAGCATTGGCGTTACTTGGTCTAAATCACGTAGACGTTCTTCACATTGCCAGCCCTGTTTTGAACTATTCCATGTCACCTTTTGATTAGAGTTTGCAAATTGTTTGAATTTCAAACAATTTATATAAAAATATTTTGGTCATCTACCCTTTAAGTCTATCCATGTAAACATATTTGGACCCTTGACTTCTTAAGTCTGTCCATATAAAAATATATGTGCACTTTATTCCTTAAGCTTGCCCATGTAAAAATATGGTATCCTTTTACCGCTGCTCATTTAAAAATATTTGGTCCCTTTATTCCTTAAGCCTAACCATGTAAAATATATTCTTCAGCCTGCATATTTAAAAGAATTTGGACCATTTACCTCTTAAGCCTGTCTATATAAAAATAGCTTGTCATTTTACCTTTTCCGCTTGTCCTTGTAATATATGGCTCATTTATACCTTAAGTAATGTCTACGTAATAGTTGGGTCCACTATCAATTAAGCCTGCAAATGTAAACATATTTGAACCCTGTTCCTCTTAAGCCTGCCCATGTAAAAATATTTGGCGCTTTTAACTCATTTATACCATTCATATGGTAAATCATTTGACCTTTTTAGTGACTTTATTGGCAACTTAGTTCTGTCAAATTTGGTCACGTGTATGTGGTCACGTGGGATAAGGATATTCTTAAAGATTATATAGGGTGGATTACCAGGAACTGCATCTATCGATATCTTAGAAATTGGATGTGGGAAAAATTTGAAAATTTTGAAACGGCTAGATATTTAAATTAAATATTTTTAATTTAGATAATTAATCGTACAGTTTTGCCACAATTCTTGTGCTTGCGTTAGCATTTTCGATGACGTATAGAAGAACATTTTATTGATTAGTTTCGTCATCTGTTGTAGTATTATTTATGATGCGCTTTTCATAAGCAACAGTGCCAGTTTTACGAAATTTTCTTAAAAGTCTATCAAAAACTTCTTTCTCTATTGGCTATTCTTTGCGTATACAATTTTTACAAAGGCAACTTGATTAAGTGCGACATTAAATTTATTAAACGAAAACCGCAGAGGTTATGAAAATGGAGGAGTGTTAGTTTTAAGATTTTAACCAATTTAGGTATTAAATAGAACAATTATTACAAAATTTTCATTTATTAGAAAATGTCGGAAAAATATAACTTTATATTGGTATTCTGATTTGGGGCATTCTGTATATATGAAACTAATTTTAAATTGTAGTCGCCACCAAGTGTATATATTTGTGCTAAAGGATTTTTTAATATATTTTGTAGTTCACCCACCCGTTGATCGTGGCGCACCCTGTATATAGGTTGTCGTATTTAAAATAAGGGACTTATAGTATATTTCCAGTATAATCGGAAGTGCCAATATATGTTTTAGCTGAATAGGCACCAAGAAATCTAGCAAGTTTCCAAATTTTCAAATTTTTCGAGATATTGATCGATGCTGTTCCGGGTGGTCCACCCCGTATAATTAACTATACTACCTCTTATACAAGTTTGTTTAAATATATTAAAAAATAAAAATCAACAACTCATTCTCATTTTTAATCCTTACTTTGGTGTCTATATGACGTGTATACAAGTGCAATAACTTTGCATTTTGATTTAATAAGTAGGCGTTCGGTTCAATCGGTTCATAATAATGATGTAAACATGGTGTCAACATGACTCTGTCATCGTTTAGCCGTTTCATCACGTTCATTCAAAATTACATGTGTGTATGTTTCAGTTTCGTCCACATTTAACAAAAGCTATTTTAATTAAAACAAAAATAACTCATATTGGCCACCTAAGAGGAAAATGTATTTTCGAAATGAGTCGGAGGTTCGTTATTTTATTATTTTTAGTTTTATTTTAATCAGACCGGTTTTTTTGTTGTCTGTAGTTTTTATAAAATGTCAAGAAGTGTCTTTCATTTTATCTATTACTCTTAGCAAAGAATACCTACCCAAGAAGCGAAACTAAATGGGCAATTCGTGGACAAAAAACTGCCAAGTTTTCTCAGTGTTTTAGAGGTGGTTTAACGTCAAACATGCTGTCAATTTATGTAGAGCAACGTTTGGTATATTATTATTAGCGTTTTGTGAAAATTGCAGTAAAGTACGTAGATAGTTTTAAGATATTTATTATTTGAAAAAAAATACATTGCATTGTTCGTAAATTTTAATGACCGTTCTTGCATCTGGCTGTAAATGTTTTATATTTCAAATTTCTAAATCAGTATTACCTCTAATGATGTTTTACGCCTACGTATTATGCATCGTTTAAATTCATAGTCTTTTATTTAAAATTTGTTTTTTTTGTTTTTCAAATAATTCGGATTGAAACAGTAAATAAAAAATAATACAAAACATATGACAAATTCATTCCGAGGAACCAAGTCGCTGCAATCAGGATGCAATCGAAATAAATTTACAGCTACCTACAGTACTCCTATATATGTGACGTGTGGAGAGTGGGTTACCCCACGGCACTTATGCCTCACTATGTCCATTGTGCTTCCTTCTAAGAGGATAGGCACCTCCTAGCTCGTGAGCTAGCCTTCAGGTTTAATATAGTTGACAACATTGCCAAGAGGTGCTTCTCATTTATTGGTCGGTGTTAGACAATATTCTAATAAATGAGAGCATCGGGCAATCGTACAGGATATGCTCGATGGTCACATCTTCTTTTTCGCACCCCCTGCAGGGTGCGGATTCTGACAGCTCCATAATGTGGAGATGCTCCGTACTTCCTTTGAGATCAATGATCAGTCAGAATGCCTGTATTCAGGCGCAAATTCTGTCAACTCATAGTTAAGTATTTGTTTCCTGTAGTGTTGTCAGGAACACTTAAAAGCTCCTTGGCAATTAGATTTGTTACTACCGATGTTGTCAGTCCAATAGAAGGGCCAGCAAGACGGCTACCCTTCGATGTGGCTTGACCTTTGATACATGGCTTATGGAAGATAAATCTCGGTGAGATGAAGTTCATGTCAGCTTGAAGCTGTGAGAGCATATCGAGCGCCTTTTGCCAAAAGTAACGTCTCGCCTCATCAGATCCTACATCATGTTCTATTCCAATCGTACAGAGGCGTGTCATTGTCATCAGAGTAAATTCCTTGATGTTAATATCAAGGGGAGTAATACTAAGAACGACTTCCATGGCTCTGGTTGGTGTGGTTTTCATGGATCTTATGTTGAGAAATGCTGTTATTTGAATTTGTTCTAGTTTGCGGATAGCTATCAATTTTTAGATTTTCGGTACCTAGATAACTGCACCGGATGTTAGCATATGTGTTTTATGATGGCAATGTAAGTCCATTGATGACTCTGGGGAAGAAACCCCAGGTGGGTCCCACGGTTCGGCGGTATTGTTCATAAGCAATGTATGCTCTTGTGACTCTGTTTTCCATGTGTGAGTTCCCTGTTAACTTGCTTCACCTCTGTTGCAATTATTGAGATAGAATAAAGAGAAGAGATCCTATGACGATGCTAAAGTGTCCGCACCTTTGCATTACATTTTTACGTCATATGTCAAATTCGAGATAGTGAAGCTAATCAGTTTTGGCGAGAATAAATGCCATTTTTTTTAAATAGCTGCATTTAAATGATATATAATTATTGTCATTCCGTCAGAATTCAAATATAAAATGATTGACTTCAAATAAATCAAAGTACGACTAAAGTCGTCATTTTCATTACACTTTTTCGTCACTAGAAGTGCGTCCTTATGTCATATCGCAAAACAATGTTTATGTCGTCTCTACTTCATTCTGTCTTGATGGTTGCAAAGTTTTGTTTTGTGTTTAGGAGCTCGGGAGGTTTTAATTTCATTTTCATCCTTTTCCTTGTGAAAAGGACCATTTCCATTTTCTTGAGATTGATATACAGTGAATGATCCTTGCACCATTGTCCTATAATTTTGAGACATACTTGCATTCTTTCGCAGAGTATGTTCTCAAAATGCCCTATTTGCAGAATGACTAGATTTTTTGCTTACGCTATTGTGTAGTGACTGTCATTATTGTACCTACAGTACTTATTTCGTTATTAAAATAATCTATTTTACATAATGAACATAGTAAGAATTTTCTGTTTCATTGGTCGTGCTCACTGTCATTTAGTTAATGATTTTTTTAGGAATCATACGTTTCTATTTCTATGCTTCGTGTAAACAGTTGCGATGACAGTAAAGTGACCATCCGTCCCGTTTTAGGTCGGACAGTCCCAATTTTAAATCACTAGTCCCGATTTTATCCCGCTTTTATGCTATTGTGGTGACGTTTTTTTCCTCTCCAGTGAACCCTCACTACTTAAAAAAATAGAATTATTTGACAAGAAATCTCCTAATCTCAATGTTTTTGATTTATCCCACTTTCTAATTTTCAAAATATGGTCACTTTAGATGACGATTAACGAACAAAGGACGGGTTGAAATTTAAAATAATTTGACATATCTTTATAGAGTTTGTACTTTAAATTAACCTAGGATCATTTATTATTCCAAACATTTTGAGTCAGCTATTGAAATTATTTTACGAGAAAATATGTTAAAACGCATTTTACTTCAACTTGCGAAAACAACACTGCCACAGAACCCTTCCTTTAGTTCCCATTTGGCATACTTTTGATTGTTAAACGTAGAAACGACTTTAATTTGCGCTTTTACGTTTTAACAAACGGTTTCAAAAAAGCTGTTTCGGCTTGGCTCGTTTACCTTTTACCGATTTGTAATCGTACGAAACTGTTTGATGACGGTGAACGAACCCATTGTTACTTTAGTATGTGTTTAATGCTAATGAACCAAACGACAAAAATTTATTAATTTTCTTACGTTTCCCAGTGTATTAAGTTCTCATGCATTGGTACATACGAAAACTCATTCAGTTTCGCTTCTTGGGTAGGTATTCTTTGCTCTTAGCTCCAAGCAAACATTTGGGAACTAATGATACCTTAGTTTCACTGTATGATCAGAAATGTTTATTTCTACTTTAATGATAAATTATCCTGAGGGAATAAAATTAGGATCCTTAAAAAAATTATATCTTTACTCAATTTATTTGAGTTTTCAAATTAATTGTCAATAATTCTTTAGTTATCCTTGAAACTGATAAAAAAATAAATATTAATTTCCTGTCAGTTGTAAGCGATTGCCTACGCAATAACTTGTACCTATTTCAGGCGTATTTTGAACTATATCTACGCGTTAGGTATACAAATATTTCCTTTGACGTGTAAAGACAAAGAAATTCTTCAGACTTGTATTCTAAAAATATGGTTTAAGTAATTTTATTTCTTTCATACAATATAGTATTGGAAAATTTTACTATAATATAAATGTTTCAAGATTTCTCTTCTAATTTCTTTCACTGGCTTTTATAACGGACATTTACAGATGATTATTATTTAAGGTTATCATCAGCAGAAATCAGAACATGCACTTACAGTCAACCAGTTAGTAGACGATCAGTGCAAGAGCAAAGATTACAAAAGTCTATGATTATTTGATAATTTTGTCCTGTCTTTATATCACCAGTGGCGTAGCCAGACTCACGGGGCGCGGGGACAAACATTTAAATGGGCGCTTTATGATTTTTTAGAACCACTGTTGTTATTATTAAAAATACGGTATTTTGTATTATAAAATGTATTAAAAAAAAACAAAAATAAGAATAATCGAGTTAAGACAGATCATAATATTCTAAATAATAAACAAAAATAAAAAGAATATTTTCCGCCCCTAAGCATGGAAATTTGTTTGCGATTAGGACGATTCGTCATTTCTCAATAATTTAAAGTCATTTACGGTTGATTTAATGAAGGAAACTGCTGTTGATATATTTATAACGACTTTTTGTAAATAATTAGACAGAATTTGAATAACTAAAAGTGTTTGTTTCCAAAAGCAAAGAAGGTATACAAATTTAAAAGATTTTATATATGTTGAAATTCCACGAGCATCAATCATTTGACTCTCATTTTTACTTGAAATTTCACTAGTTGAGATGCTTTCCATAACCTCTATTATAGCGGGAGATTGTCAAATATTCAAATATCTAATTAACAGCTCTAGTGTGACTTGCCCAACGAGTCGTTGATTTTTTAGACATTTTTTTTTTTTTAATAAGCAGATGTAAACAAAAAATACTTTTTGGCATCGGTAACACAATAAACACTTGCAAACTCGTCTCAAAGTCGCCAATACCGCGTCGCGCATTATTTTTGAAGATATCATTCGTTATGATTTACGACCATATAAAATAAAAATAGTTATTTTACTTTAACTTTGGACTAAATAAAGAATATTTGAAGCATTTCAAACAAATACGGTGTTTGTTTTTAAAAATATTTTACAATTTCAATAAATGTTATAGGGTGTAATAAAAGTAACTATTTATTGCGTATATAGACACCAAGCGCCAATCGGCAAGAGGCGCCTAGCAAGGGGGCGGGCAAGCACCCCCCAGCCCCTACCTGGCTACGCCACTGAATATCACCAAGATTTAAAAGTGAAAAAGTAATAATTAAAAACAGCTTTTTTTACTTTCCTGTCTGTATACAGATAAGGAAAGTATAGGAATCATGATTTGTTAATTTTATAGAGAAGATAAAAGAGGTCATCTGAGAGAACCTTTTTTGCATTTCGCTTAAGGAAAATCTACTATCCAATAGTAATTATTAGAGTTTATTCTATTCAGAGAAAATCATATAGCTTCTTCAAGTCATTATTTTAATCGTGTTGAAAAAAATAATGTTGAAAAATATTTTTCCTACGACCACTTAGGAAAGTGACACCTGCACTCTCTAGTCTTATGGAAAGTGCCTTATATCACACGCGTGTGGAAAAATTTACTTTCCACACGTGTGTGAATATGAATCTACTTTCCGCATAAGCTCTCAAATAATAATAATTTTAAAGTAACTACGTACATTATTTTTGTTTTTTCTGGTTCACATACATATTTAATAAGATAAGCCAAATCACACAGCCATGATAGAAATGGTTTACCGTCTGACTTTTTCAAATTATCATATTATAACCCCTACATTATTTTGTACTATTATATTTACTGTTCAGAAAAAAATTGTTAGTAAAGAAGTTAATAATAAAAAAGTTTTTGTTCACGATTGTTCAACTTATTTGTTTAAAACAATTGTAACGTTATTTTATCTTTATGATCCTACGAAATTATTTGTAAATGGAATCACAATATTTTTAATTTTGACGAAAAATGATTCAATAATGCATATAAAAAACAAATCTAAAACCAGCTAACCTTTATAGCCAGATTCTCTGGTTTTGCATTTTTTTGATAAAACTATTTTGTGGTCGTAGGAAAAATATTGTACACCACTTGTGTGAAAGTGATTTTTCACACTTGCGTGATTGTCGCACTCGGCTTATGCCTCGTGCGACAGTATTTCCCGCGCGTGTGATAAATGTCACTTTCCACACTCGTTATGTAATATACTATACCATTACAAATGAAGTGAAGTTTATTAAAATTAAGATACATTTACGTACCAATTTTGACTAAAATAATATTTTTTAACAATAGCTAAAGCTGATCAATGTAATTTTTATAAAGTATTAAATCGTTTTAGTTAACTAGGCATCCCCTATATTACTACGTGTGTTTTACTGTTGTAGTAACTGTCTTTATTTAGTTTTTTATTTAATTATTGAATTTTTGTTTCAGGATTGGTTAAAAAAATAAGAGAAAAAGGGAATGGTTTACCTTTTGACCAATTGGGGCATGGGAGAAAATGACACAGGTAAAAAAAAATGTGCCATACCCGCTAGTACAAGTACACCTTTTAGACGTCCAGAACAAAATGGCTGTAACAACGAAGTTGACTTGTTTCCTTTAAATAACCAGGTAATCAATTCAATTTACTCAAAAATGTAATTTTGGTGTCACAATGTTGAATTTAAATTAAATATTCAAGCGCAAACGATCTAAATGTATTAGTTTAGTAATTGGACTATAAATAACTGTTTTTGGTATGCGTTTCCAAAAAATACCCAATTATTATAAAAGGTTAACCTAAATAGTCGAACAATAAGTACCTGAAAATAAGTAGTATTTGTCTAACCTAACATAACTTTCAGAGTTGAGATAATATCAGTGGGGTTCCGTCAACAAAGTCAAATATTTCAGATAATTTTGTTTCTATAAAAAAAAAAAATAGAAACAAATCATTTTTTATAAAACGATTTAAAGTGAATAGAAACAAATAACACATAACAAATTAAATTGCATTTGCAAAAAATACAAAAAAAAGTAGAATTCCGTTTTGGTATTTTCATCAAGGACTATAGTTGCCAATAAATTAATTACAAATCCATCCATACTATAGTGCTCCATGGATCAGTTCTGACCTCCAAAACCCCACGTGGATACGCGACTGGATAGTATTTGTTTAGATTCTTTTAATTCACTAAAGGTGGTTTTCGAGGGGTGATATATGCCGCGTTGGAGAATCCACATCGGATGCATCTGAGATGTTGTGAATTTTTTATCACGTGATAGAGAATTAGATCTAAATGTAGATGTAATAAACAAACGCTCTAGACTTTATTTGGTCACGTGATAAAATGTCAATGACAAGTTAGAAGTTTATACTTATTAAATTTGACTTTTGAGACTACAAATCAAACTAAATTTGAAATATAAACAAAAATTATACAAACTAATCACTTTTATATTCATGCTAGCATAAACAAAGGATAAATTGACAAACAAGGCTTCACAGAACACTTACTTTCTGGCATGGAACGAACATCTCATTCACATCTCATTTCAAATCGAGATGTAAAAAATGTAATCTGAACAGGTACATCTGGGATAAACAAACGCAGATGTAGATGTAGTAGATGTGTCCGATGTGGATAAAAAAACGCTCGAGATGTAAAAAATGCATGCGATGTGGATTCTCAAACGCGGCAATAATATCTTTTGGTCATATTTATTATCATCAACTCAATAGGTGAGTTCGGGCTGCGCACGCCAGAGTGGAGTGGAGTAATTAGGCGTAAACGGAGTGCGAATATGATTTTACTCCTTTAACTCTCGGAGTGCAATGTCAGTTGTCAATGTGACATACTAGTACTTAAAATTTAATCGTACTTATCAGTAACGACCGTATAAGTTTCTTCCATATTAATGATATTCATGGGAACCAAAAAAAAAACTTATTTATTAAAGAGTCAGTCACAATTAACTTATTATCGATTTAAATCACCTCATGCGCATGCCCGATCCACACTCCACCATCTCCGAACGGTCAAAGAGGAACTTTTATTTTAACTCCTTCCGTACCCGAACGCCTTGGGTATTTTAGGAGTGAATATAGTGAAAAGAGTGGGTAGACCGAACTCACCAAGAATAACTTTCATCTGAAGACGAGCATGATAAAAATATAAAACATGAAAGAACAGACATTAGATTCTTCTATACTAGACATTATGTACTAATTTCATTTAGCGTTGTGACGGCGTCGATTTAGGTACGTCGCAGCGTTGAGCATCGCCTTGCGTCGAGGCGCCTAGCGTCGTGGTGAAGCGGAAGATATTTATTACGGTACTGCGTCGGGACAGAGATACGGTAGAAAATACTTAAATGGTGCTACGCGACGAAGGATGTCGCCAAGGAAATATTTAGGGATGGCAAGCGTCGATAAGTAGAGCGGTGCGTAGGGAAGTAGGACGACGGAACGTTGTGCGTCGAGTCGTTGACACCTTCGGGGGATAGGAGGTATTGTAGGATAGTCGTCGTTTAGGAAGAGCGTTTTAGGAAAGGTACATACTACATAACTGGATACAAATGATAAAGTGATTGCTTGAATGTAAAATAAAAATAAATAAATGAATTGCTTGAATGTAAAATAAAAATAAATAAATGAATTGCTTGCACATCGAATAATGAAAATTAATGAATATCCGGTTCATTTGGGTTCAGGTTCTTATACCCGTTTTAATGGTTTTTTGTGACGTCAGTTTGTCTTAGTTCCAGTGGGAAACGAATCTGGGTGGAAAATTGGTTGGCAGATTTATTACTTGCCTTAAAAAATTTGTGTATCGAAACAACAATATATGTTATACGGCGGTTTTTGGGCTGGGTTGCCAGACACGTGCACGAAAATTAGATCTCTTATTGACAGGGTTATAAATATTATTTATTAGGTGTCGTAAATAAGTCTAATTATCTGGGAGATTTTTGGTTAAATGAAGGATTTCGAATTTAATAAGAATGCAATATTTTATTTAATAAATGGAATTAATAAATTTTTAAGGTACCTGGGTGAGGTAGGTTCAATTGTTTGTATTACGTAATAAAAAAATACATTTAAAAATTGTTTTATAATATTGTACATCTAAATTATCTGCAATTTTGGCCCAAATCTGTATAAAACCCATAAATAACTTCGGCAAAAATATATATTTAAAAAATGCTCGAGGTTTTAATATGTTTAGAACACTAATAGGTGGCTTCGAATCCCCTTCGCAGACAGAATTTTTTTTTAATTTTTCATTAAATTTCTTTCACTTTGGGGGTTGCAAAATAATTTTCATTATTTTATAGGGGTATTTTGTGATTTGATTGGAGACTCCAAAAAATTTAATATTTACGAAGTCACTAAATTTTGCTCTCAATTAATTTAAAAAATTAATATTTCAATTAATTTCCGCCTGAGGACATGTAGAAGATCCCCCGTATTTCTGTTTCCCAGGAATTACCGTTTTTCAACAATTTCTAGTACCTTCGTATATTAAAATATTCCTATATTTGCCGAAATCCGAATGGGCATTTTGTAGAGTCGATTTCGTACCGATTATCTACTTTTATTTGTCAAGGTACTAGAAGGATATTTTTTATATTTCTAAATTGTAAACAGTCGGCTGTAGTGGTGGTATCCCCCACTCGGGCTTATCGGTCTTCCATCTTGTCACAGCGAAAAAGCATAAATTAAATTCGATGACATCTGGGAATTACCCTCTCTTGATTGCCGACAGCCGAAAACTATTCGCCCTTCTATAGTACCTAGTAAATACTCCGTGAGTTACCGTAATATCGAAAGAATATTGAACAACCCCGTTTATTTTTCTAAAGGTAGGAAACCGCTTATAATTTTTTTATTTACAATTGGTTTGGGACACCCGTCCGACAAGTGAAATAATTTTGATTCATGCCCAGCATTTTTCATTTCATCCCTTAGTGGGAAACCGTTGGCAATTTTTTTTATAAGAAGCACCCAGTATTTTTCATGTAAGTTTCTCGTTTATTTTATTTATCATTCAATTGTATTTGAATCGTTCCGTTCCCCGTCCACAACTAATTATTGAACGAAGCCCAACTTTCACACCGTCTTGATCGCTTTTTGGCAAATCTCAAAATATTTTTTACGTTAACCATCGAATTTTTGTACCAAACACCGCGCTGAAAATTATCATTCTCGTTCAGTATAATTGCCAGAGCGTCACCGATCGGTCTGGTCTAAGATACAGGGACGTTCCGAAAACTTTGATTTCATTTATTTGCTTGCATTTGATTACCGTCATATTTAAATTGTTTTCGAGTGTATTAATTTATTTTTAATAAATTTTCCGTATATAGGGAGTTTCATAATTCCCGGACCGCTTGGCCTCCTGTGCTAGCGAACCGTAAATATTTTCCCGTACTAGTAAAAGGTAATACGAACTTTTAATTTCCTTAGTACCTAATAAGGTAATAAATTAAATGGGATTTAAATCCGAGGGCACTCGCACCCTTCATCCATTTTGAGGGGGTGATAGCGGTATTCGCTTGCTTCCCCCCGTCGATAATCAGAGCTGTTTCAGCCCCTAGTCTTTATAACAGCTCGTGGAAAGGGTTTTTTTCTTGTAGAAGCTATGGACTACCAGATTTATACATGAGAGAGGCTTTAAACCGTTAATATTTAATTAGTTTTCATTGGTAATAATTTATTTTTAATAAGTTTTCCGCATAAAGGAAGCCGTTCATATTTAATTACCGTTGCATTATTTTTTTGTAAATATATATTTTATTACCTATTCCTGCGTTTCTCTTATTACTGGTTCTTAACCGTTCTCTTTCAGGGTACTGTAGGGTACGAGGTATAAAGGAGATAAGTGTTTTATTTTTATTTATTCTAGTATAGTGGCTACCTAGCAGTGGCCGCCTGGAATTATTTATCTCCACTGAGTTCACCTTGAGTACACTCTGGTGTACCACAGGGTCGCAGAGCAAACTTTGATACCAAAACTGGCGCCTGAGCAACTCCTATTCGGGAATCACCTTCATAGCGCCACATAGACTCGCTGATTCACTGTAGGTGAACCAGAAGCCTGTCACAACTAGTACATAAAGTTTTTTTTATTACAGACAAGTTACTATAAATCAACAATTCGTATTCATTTGATTACTAATCACATTTTTGTTCCCTATATAGAGATGACGATTAAAAAACGCCCACTAATTCTTTAATTTGTTTCCAAGAACTTGATTATACCATAGTTATTTTTTTTTTTTTATATAGGTATTTACCACATAATTATAACGCTATTGCATAAATTATTTACATTAATGACTTAAATTAAGTTAAAGTTAACTTTAATTTGTTGAAAAATATTTAAATTTACACTAGATAAAATAATATCTACTTTTTGAAAGTAAATAAAGAGACCAGAATGTATATTTTAAAAATATTTAAACATAAAGTATATTTTTAATTGTTCAGCTGACATTTAAATTGTGACTAGGCATTTTCAAGATTATTCATCATCATTAATTATACATTAATTAATATTAATGACTGTTTTTCAAATGAGCATTAGTGTTTTAAAAATTATTTTGTGATGGATACAAACAAGTAGTTTTTAAATGCCTTTATGAATATTTTTAACGGACTTCAAAAAAGGAGGAGGTTCTCAATTCGTCGCAATATTTTTTTTATGTATGTTCAGCGATAATTCTTTAACACGGTGTCCGGTTTCAATGATTCTTTTTTTGTCAAAAAGGGGGTACTTTAGGGGTGGTCCCATATAAATTTGGTCAAAATCTAATAATTAGGTCCATGAGAAAATCCTCAAACTCTTCATTTTTTATATATGTTTAGCGATAATGCTTTACCACCTTGTCCGATTTATATGATTCTTTTTTTTTAGTAAGGGGGTACCTTAGGGGGTGGTCCCATATAAATTTGGTTAAGATGCACGTTTTTGAAGTCGGTTTTTTAAATTTTTAATTTCTAATACTTGTTTAATTTACTCCATAAAATTAGAATCTTAATATTTTATTGGTCATGTTATTTTTTAAGTTATTTTAAATAAAAAATTAAAACTATGATTATAGCAGAAAGAATATAAAAGGTAATTTAATTGTTTTTAACACAAAATATAATAAAATTTAATATAAAAGCAAGAGTGCAATGAGCCGACGATGCAGACCGTTTTCTAACGAAGCGATAGTCAGACTGAATCTTCCCTCAATTCCTTCAAAAATTCGTTGTTCCTCTTGTGTCTTGTTCATCCTTAATCTTTTTAATATAAACAAAGAGACCCTTGAAAGTTTCATTCCGAATAGTCAACATTCTTGGAAATTCGTGTCGATTACATTCATCAGAACTGTTCCTGAGATGTCGTTTCATGACACAAATTTTTACTTTTAGCATCACTTCTTGTCACCGGTACTATTTTATTTTTGTGCATTTAAATTTGTAAATAACATTATGAAACGAACTTAAAATTTTATGTAGATTTTAAAGTCATTAGATTCATCATGGAGGTATTCATACAATTAGTTGTTTTCTACAATAACCTAAACAAGCCTTTTTTTTTCTCTAGACAATTAAATCATTTTAAATAATTAGAAAACGTGTACATGGTATCACCCATGATGAATGATTAGTTTTTGCGCTTCATAACGACTTTTGTATGTACAGATATACTTAATCTTAATTGTTAGATGTTCTTAGAAAAACAATGTTGATTAGTTTACATTTAACAAGCTTTCCATTAGAATCACCATACGATTGCTCACCTCCAACTAAGTTATCCCATCAGTAATTGATATTCATATTGGCGATAGTGATAAAAAAATCGTTTTGAAAAATTGCCTTGTAGCTTCATTATTTTTTAATCTACCACCATAGATATTTAAAAAAATATTGTCAAAGTTTGCTATAACATGTAAATTTGGGTTAGCTATATTAGACCAATTATCTGACATAGCTGATTTCCGGTTTCGTAAGAAGTGACGTAAAAGTTTAAATTAAAATCTATACATATGATGTAACGGTAACTAGGTATAAAAATCTGATGTGTCCAACACATGACTTTCCTATCTAGTTATTATAGGCTTTTTCCGGTTATTTTGTACAACCTATTGCAGCACCTCTATAAATATTTAGAGGATAAACTAAATATATACATTTTCCACATACATCTACCTCGAAACATTTTTCTATGTATGTCGGTTGCTGAAGGATATATCATCAAAAAATGAAGTTTCAAGAATGCTGGCAGGTGTACCTTCCGGGTCTGGCGTTTCGGTACAGAAATTTGATACTCAAATTTTATGTTAATTCGTCAAAATAATGTTCATCGAATATTTACAATATTTACATATATTACTATATTCCGTTTGTAATTTCATTAATAAAGGTTATTAAATAAGTTAAACAAAAAATTATTTCTTTATGCCCGCGCGGGCCATAAAGTGAACTTTATGCCCGCACGGCCATAAAGTACGACATTAGATAGTTGGTAACTAAGCAATAAAAACACAATAATGAAACTAGTATGACAAAAAAGATTATTCTATTTGCATGTTCACCTAGAAAATATTTTCTAATTTTTAGGTTGGTGGTCATACAAGACTGATGGTTTTGAATCCCAGCACGATAGTGAAGCCACTGAATTATCGAGAATTAGATTTCTATCAAAACATACAGGAACAGGATATTAAAAATTTCGTACCAAAATATAAAGGTAAGCTGAGTAACTTATAGGAACAAAGTGCCCTTTTTGGAAAAGACTCTTAAGTGCTATTTTTTGAATATTTTTATACCTATTTATTTAACCATTAAATACCTTATTAAAGCTTTTTTAATATCATAGGTTTAGTGATAATTGTATTTTTTGTAAAAATCGAATAAAAATAAAGCTTTCTCAGTACTCTCAACTCATTTTGCATGCATTAAATTTTTTTATGTATGAAATACTTATCATCTAAAATCTAAACGTTTTGGACCGATTAAATAGTGATCCATTTCATGTTTTTAGTTTAATTTCTTTCTGTGTAAACGAATGTGTGAATGCTTTTAGAGTAAATCAAAATTATTGAGATACAACCACAGATTCTGGAAGTTAATTTTTTTTTTCATCTTAAAGTAGTAGTAACGAAAGAAGAAAATAGAAAATTATCTTAAATTAAACCATAGTTTAAAATAAACCCAAGCTCTGATAAATATTTCCTTTTTTTAATCTTAAATATATGGCGATTAAATTCAATTCTCAAGAATAATTTTTGATTCATCTTATTTATTATTTTCATGATTTCACATTTAAGAGATGATCTCAAATTATATTATTATTAAAACTTTATTTACAGGGTATAATATTGAATACTAATATATCGATATATTAAAACCAGAAGGATTATCTGTTATACCAGTAAATTCGAACATTTTAAAATGACACATTTTCCCGACTTATTTATTTCAGAAAAGTTCAGATAGGTATTAATCTGTTTCAACATGTCGATATATTTCAATTACACCCTGTATACGTAGAATCTATGGTTATGATTTATGATACATTGCGTATAACAATTTACAAAATATGTTGGTTTTAAATTTTAATGACATATTTTCAGTTTAAGTAAGTAACCTTCTTTATATTATGCAATTTTCTATTTAATAATATATATTTTGTATCTAGAGGTAAGTGATACACTTAAATATTTATATTTCGCTTATGAAGAAAAAGTTTTGGCGAAATGTATTTTAATTATTACTTCGTACTTTTATGCATTTTATGTTTCAGTTGTTATTTTTAAACCAGGTAATAAACAGATAATTTTAAACTAAACGAAACTTATAATTTTGAAATTTAATGGACCTACTAAAACTATTGGCAACCAGTTATTAACTTCCTATTTATTAAATTTTTGATTTACCTAAGGTTGACATTTTGCCAACTCTTTTAAAATTAATTACACTAGTTTACAAAATGAATAAAAAATAGTCATTTGAACCATGCTAGCTGCTTTACTATATTTTTGGATACAGAAGTTGCTTAGTGGAAAATTTCAACACATTTTTAATTAATATTTGATTGATGCTTAAATAAAGTCTGAAATTTCACACTTTGATAACTTGTCGCAGTTTTAATTTTAAACCAGAAGAAACCAGTTTTTAAAATTCTCTGAATGATAAGAAATGTTACATTGAAATTTATTTAATTTATAAATCCATTTCTAAAAAAACGATTAATATCTTAAAGTACCTATATTTACATATTGTAATAAAATTAGAACTTGAGCTATGAACACGTTTGTTGATGCATTTGAGAAGATTGGCTCATTTTTTAATTTTTAATTAATTTAAAAAATAAAAATTTGACAGTCTGGGGCTCATTGAATTTGCATATAATATTTTAAAATGAAAACGTACCTAACTGTTTTTTGCAGCTAGATTGGTTCGATATATTTTTTGTTAACAGAAGCTAGTGTTGTTTAGGCACTTACGAGTATGTCTGCTGGAGTGAATGAATAAAGTCATATTTTTCGAAAAAAATACCGTTTAATTGTTTTATTGAGGGACATGATCATCTCCAATTGGACTGGCTGACAGACAGAAAAGGATCTGCCTGCCCGCTGCCTCCCTGGTTCTGAGAAAAAACGTTTCGACGACCTTCCTCAGGGTTTGTATGGACGTTCTCCATATTTTTTGGGTTGGAAGGCCATATATTGCTTACAAAAGAGAGTTAGCTTTATGTTATGTTTCTACACTCATCATTTCAATTGGTATTTGATGGTTTATTAAAAATAAGTGAAATTAATGACGGAGCAAAAATTATTTTTATGGTCTATATTTTATTTTTATCAAAACGATTTGTGATTTGTTATTATAATGAAATTGAATTTATAAATGTTCCCATTGTTTAAATTGTGAGAAAGCTTAAGATAACGATGTTCTAGATTGAAGGATATTCTATGTTAATGCAATATTACAAATTTGTTGAGTATTTACAATTTAATATATATTTTTATTTTGGTACTTATATGTAATAAGACAAAAATAAACAAACCTATTAGATAACACTCATAATGTACCCTTCAAATTGTGAAAAAAGATAATATTTGCCAAAACGAATTAAACGACTTCCTTTTTTAAACACTTAAACCACTTGCGATGTTTTAAATGGTAAAACCAACTAACAGGTTTCTAGAAATTTGAATAAAAATATTCTGTATTCTGCATTGATAAAAAAAAATTGAATACCTAATTGAATAATCTTAAAAAAATTGGTTATTTTTGATCATTTTTAATTCATTGTTTTAGACTTTTGGGATATAGAATTATCGTGATTCCAGGGTCACGATCATATCATATTTGTAAAAATAAAAATATAAAATAGGAACAATGTATGAGTGTAATACATTTTTCTTTACCTTTAATTATTTTAATGTCCATGTTATGTCTATGTTACAAACACAATAACAAAAATATGGTACACCTGTTTACAAATTTGTGAAGAAAACTATTCTATAAATTTAATTTGATTTATTTCTATAAATTAGTAAACGAGTTAAAAATCACCACAAAGAATATCACTGGAAGGAACATGATTATCTATACAGATAGCAGACAAACACTACTCACCCTAAACAGACCACGAATTTACTCAGGGTCAGTACTAGAATGTCACAAAGTTTTGGCCGAAGTATCCATCAACAATGTGATCACCTTAAGATGGATCAAAGGTCACGCCACATCGAAAGGTAACTTCTTGATGATTCACTGGCCAAGAAAGCAGCCAACCAAATACTTTTGGACCTGGTCCTTCTATTGGCCTAACAAAATCGATAGTGGCAAACCTAATTAAAGAACATTCCCTTGTGAAATTCAAGAGAAGATGGGATGAAACAAGAAACTGCAAAGTTGCCAGGGAGCTTTTAAGTTATCCTGACAACACTGCAGCAAACAAATACTTGACTATGACTAGACAGAATCTGTGCTTGGTCACGGGCATTCTGACTGGTCATTGCCAAGTACGGAAACATCTCCATATTATGGGGTTGTCAGAATCCGCACTTTGCAGGGGGTGCGAACAAGAAGATGAGATCATCGAGCATGTCCTCTACGATTGCCCGACGCTCGCATTTATTAGAAGATTTGTGTTCGGCGAGTATCGGCTAACACCGGCCGATATAAGAGAAGCACCTCTTGGCGATGTTGTCAAATATATTAAATCTGTAGGCTGACTCACGAACTAGGAGGAGTATATCATCTATATGGACCATTTTAGGAAAATTTTGTACGAAGCAAAAATTATAGAGAATAATATTGAAAGTAACTTTTATTTAAAGAATTTTCGTCCTTAAAGTAAATAACATATTTCATAAAATATAAAAACGATCTCCTATAAAGTACTCCTCCCCCAGATGTTCCGACTCTGCCCAAAATCTAATCTGCTCACCACAGGCCGGAATAAAGTTTAAGTTTACAATTTGGTATTTTTCTCTGTATCTGTTCATGAGTAATATCGAGTATACAGACACACATCATCGAGAAAATAGTCAAAACGAATTCAGGGGACCCCAAAACGTAAAAATCCATCAAACAGGCGAAGTCGAAAAAAAATCATATTCCTATACTTTCCTTATCTGTATACAGACAGGAAAGTAAACATTATAAGTTATCTATTCAAAGGTTCATACCTATTGTTTAATTTAATACATTTTAAAATACATGTTTTTTCTGACACTTCGTTTTCAAGTGCTTTTAATTATTAAAAATAATATGTAAAAATAAAATTTATTTAGAAATAAAGATTGAGGTTTCAGTTATCAACGTCAGAGACTTCCACAAAACCACAAAGCATACACTTGTGACCCAAAATAATACTATATAATAAACACAACAATACTCCTTTTTATTTACTATGTTCTAAACAATAAAATATGTTCTCCAATATTGTTAATAATATAAAATATTCTTGATCGCTTTTCTGTATCGGATGAATCAAAATCGTACTTTTTTTATTGTTTTGACATAATGGGCGTAGCCATGTTATTTTATATTGATTTCACTTTTTCTAAACCTTAAAAATAAAAAAAATAAAAAACTTCGAATGTACTGAACAACACTTAGCTAACTCTCTTTTTATAATACAAAAGAACAAGTGCCACTCGATATTTCACAAATCATTTTTTCTGTAATTTTACTTTTGTTCATGTCTTGTATAATTCTCAATTAATTTGTCAAAAAAATAATTGTGAAAATTTTATCAAATATTTTTTTTCTGAAAACTTTTTTGAATCTACATGTTTCGGCGAATTGTTTCAGGAGTAATGCAGGCGACACTGTGTAACGGATCAAAAATAGAAAAAAGGTACAGCCCCAGTTTTCGTGATGAACACAACAAAACTAAATCAGACAGAAAAAGGAAGAGAGAAGTTTATAAGTAAGTTTTCATTACTTGTTTTTTAACATTTTCGGATTGTAACATCCGATATGTTTGTAAAATTTGATTATACAATATAAGAAGAATCATTGTTATTGTTCACCTATAATTTTTTGCAATATAAAATGAAAACAATAATATGGTAATTAACTAATTTTTAGTTATGTAATTTACACTTTCTGTCTCAATATTAAATTATTTCAAATATGAGTGATAAGTACTTATGGAGATTCTTATCAAATTATTTATATTTTTTTATTTGTAGAAAAATTGCCTAATATATAGGTCCTCAGTATTTTTTTTTTTTTTTTTTTTTTTTTTTTTCATTAAGGGCCAGTCCTTTTTTTTTTCATTAAGGGCCAGTCCTAAGGCAACAGTTTCTTAATATGTTTCCATAATGTTTACTAATACCAACATATCCATCTAATAAATTCAACCAATGCCTAGTTTAAAAAAAAATTCATATTTTTTCGTCAATCTTCTTATAAAAACGTTTATGTCATGTTTTAAATGTTTAGTTTTGATATAATGATGAAACTATTGTCCGTATGGGAGTATTAAATTTTTTAATAATCACTCATTCCATTGTTGGGAGAAAAATGTGTTAGTTAATATTAAATATTGTAATAATTTGATCGTATGCAGGTAATAGAACACCACTTTTTTTTCAGAATGAGAGTTCATCACACTGGTAATCCAAAAGACGTCCTAAAAAGCATTTCACAAACAGACAATACCAATAAGCAATATTTTCTAATGCTCGAAAACATTACCTCACAGTATTCACACCCGTGCATTTTAGATCTAAAAATGGGCACCAGGCAACATGGAGACGACGCGTCTGCTGATAAAAGAAGGAAACAGATAGCAAAGTGTGCTGCGAGTACCTCGGGCAGTCTAGGTGTGTATAATTTCCATTTTTGTATTCACCAATTTTGATGCATTTGTACCTACACATTTTTAAATGAGGGCCAATAATATTAATACTATAGTAAACTTAGATTGGTCTCTGTCTTTAATACAATTTAAAAAGTTGATAATATCTTACTTCGATACCTTTGGAATTTAAATAATATAAATAACAACTACTTTAAAAACATGTAAAATTTCTTAAAATTATTTAATTCTACCATTTAAAGTGATTTATCCTCTGCAATTAAAATACTGTAATATTATGTCACCTGTAAAAAATTACTTAAATTATACTATCCATGTAATTAGGCTAGTTAAGCCTGTTTGGATTTTTATTAAATAAATATAATTACAAGTATGATTTAAATAGGTACAGCGATATTTTGGTTGTAATAGTAAATAACAAGGAAGAGTTCAATTATTTATTTTAACGTGCAGATTTATACAGGGATGTACCGAAATTCCGGCGGTAGCACTAAAAATCCGGCCTAACGGCCGGAATATTCGAAAATTTTAGAATAGGTTAAATATAAGCAAAATACACGGAAAACATTTTGAACTTTATTAAATTGAAAGTCGTTATAAAGCAATGATTTATTCATCGAGATAATGAAGGGGTACGTTTAGAATGACACGACATACAACGACATTATTAGGAAATAAACTGTGTTTTGACTCGCTGTTTCTGAACGACTCCCATTACTTCACCATTATTTAACATTGCTGGACAGTTCATGTCAACAGCAAAGGTCTATGAAATGAGATTAAAATTCAACATTTGTAGAGTTTTGAATATACCGTTCTATAAATTGTGGCACTCGAACAGTTACACAAGATTTAATCGAGACATTTATATGGTTCGGGAAAACAGCAATTCTACGACTTTTCTCGCCTTTATTGTCACTCTTTGCCTGTTAAAACAATAATCTGTAGTTATATGTTTGTCGCAAAATAGTTTTTATGTCGTCTCTACTTTATTCTATATAGATGTTCTAAAGCCATGTTTGCAATAATGCGGAACGGAATAAATAATAAACCTTTTTCCACAGGTGGTATTCGCTTAGTGCAAAGTCATGGTAGGAGAGGCAAAAGCGATACTAGCACTAGTTGCGGATAATTCGTGCATTTTAAGGCGATATTTTGTAATTTAGGCGTATCAAATATACGTATATATTTTACTTATTAAAAAAAATAGTTAAAAGCAATACAATGAACAACCAGAGTTGCTGTATTGTAAATTGTGAAAATACTAGCAAAAAACAGTGTATTTTATAAATTTTCTGTAGCAAAATAGAAATTAAATAATATAAATAATAATACTCTCCCTAATTCACCCTCTTACGAGTGAATTTTAACCACAAAAGCTGAGCTTGTGCAGGGAAAGGGACGGCTATTATTATTATTTGCCGTGGTGCTCCGGAGCGACTTAAAGATGATTGATGGTGCGATTTGACTTACAGGTGAGGAAAACCCGGAAAACCTCACCCACCATCATCGAGACGGTAATGCATGGCGATATTTTAATCTGCATGTCATATCAACAGAAATTGACTTTCTATCAATACGGCACACATCAAATCATATACCGAACCATGCAATTTAATTAAAAATTCACATGGTCTGGTCTGGGATTCGAAGCCAGGCACCATAAACTTGCCTATAAATGAATATAAGCGCGTTAGGCTGCTTCACCACACCACCGACCCGTTCCGAAGAAATAAACGTTCCTTTAATTGCAGTAAGAAGGGAAAAGTAATTACAAACCTTTATTTTTGTAACAAGAGTATCTAATACCTATTGAAAATAGTATACATCAGAAAACTGAAAGTTGTATCTACTTAAATTATTATTATTTTACGATATTCTTCAAAATTTCTTAAGTACATGTTCAAAATCGAAATATTGTCTGTATGTGGAATGCAGTTATTTAATAATTAATTCTATGTTTTCTTTCGAACTAAAAATGAAGAAAACAAGTATAAATTACATTCGAAAATATTACAATATTACAACTAATTTTTTGGTATTAAATTTTGAATACACGTTTGACATTAACCTTCAACTTCATTAGGCAACTTTTCATACACTTTCTCGTAAATACTGTTGCCTAATTATCTATTCTGGGAACATGTTTTAATAATTTTTCTATTGAACATACTTACTTTTCTTTTGCTGAAGTAATAAAAATATATAATAAATGAATCTTAGTTTTATAAATTCAATATACTTTTATTTAAAGCAAAAAATACATTTTTTAATTAGGAATTCTATTAAAAATGATACTGTCAATACATGAGAAATCCCCCTTTAGTACATATTTCAGCTGGCGCTGCCGTCACGCACGGAGCGAATAGAAACATGTTGGCACGACACGAAATGTGTTCTACTGTAATTATAAATTACCATCCTTCTATGTGATGTCAAAATGGTGGCTTTAAGGAAAATTGAAGGCGGGATGAGAATTTGTGTGTGCCGACGAGAGTCGAAATCTGATTGACTTCAAATTTACGAATTCGGATATCAGAAACCGAAACTACAGTCGAAACTATTTTATTCCGAAATTGGCCGAAATCGGTCGGACACTAACTCATTTTATCAATATTTTTCATATTCTACAATAAACCCAAATAGCTTACTCGCTACGTCTCGTTTCACGCTGTCAACTAATCTTCATAGTCAAGATGCAAGAACGAGCGAAAAGATAAGTTAAGCGGTGGCAACATATCTTACAGAGATTTAAACGAAAAAGGTGGGAAACCTTATTTAAATTTTACTTATTATTAAAGAAAAACAAAATCAGCAGAATTTTGTAGGTTTAACACAATGTGGCCGAGAAAACTGTTTTACAAAAAATATATGTTTGGAAGGTTTACAAAATAATAATGAGGCTGTCACGAAAACAATTATTACATCTGAATTACTACCTGTCTATCTAGAAGTATCTGCAGTTTTTTGGATGTCCGGTTTTTAATTTATGTATTAAAAATGTTTAGTGTCTGTTGCAATTTTCATTGACATTTATGCTATTATAAAAGCAGAAAGGTTTCCTCCTGAAAAATAACTCAAAAGTCCTCAAAAGCTATAGATTATTATTTAATTTGTATATTATGGAGTATTTATAGAAGTAAGGAACTTGGTAACTTGTAATGTATTTGTTCAAAGCGAGATGGTCTATAGTTTAAACAGTCTCATTACTTGCTATACAGGATGTCCTAGACTAATTTATCCAGGCTATAATCATAAACAAATAGAAGATATTCGGGTGAAAATTTGATACTAAGGATTTTCGTGGGTGCTCTATTGATCTAAAATATTTTGGAAATTTTTACATTTTAAAAAACCCCTCGACGAGCTGGTTTTAATAATAGAGCACACTTGATGTCTATTGTGTATACAAAATGTCACAGTCTAATTCATCCAGGCTATATCTCGTAAACGAATAGAGATATTCAAGCGGGACAAAAACGAATGCATATCATACCATTTTTTAAGTCACTTGAATATGTTGTAGAAGAAAACCATCCCCTAAATATGTATCCCTTAGTGATATTTTACAACCAAAATTTCATTAAAATCGTTAAAGCCGTTTTGGAAATATTTTGAAACCGAAAAATAATTCAAAATTGTAACGCCCTGTATCTTTGAAACAAAGAATCTGCGGACTCATGTTGATAAAAAGTATTTGTCTTATTTTTGGGTAAAGAATGACCTTACGAATTATGGCACAAGTTTATGAAACGCCCTATATATAGGGTGCTTTTTAAATTTTTAAGGTGGGGGTTGTTCCTAAAGAGCAAATATTTAAGTGATAATTTTTACACCATATTAAAATGTCTGAAAAAATGGTATGATATGGATTAGTTTTTGTCCCACTCGAATAGATCTATTAGTTTATGAGATATAACCTTGCTGAATTATTCTGGTACAGTAGGCCCGACGAGAGAGGGGGGGGGGCAGGGGGACAAATTCCCGAGGCCCGGCAGCTTTAGTTGAGGACGTTTAATTTTTTTAGAAGTTCGCCACAAAAGGGAGGTTCTGGTTTACGAAATTTTTGCATGATGCTCTTTTTTTTAGAAATGTCACATAGAAAGGACTTGATTTTTTTATAAAAATGCCCCGGAGCCCCACTATGGCTCTCGGCGGCACTGTATAGACATGATTTATATCAAGTGTGATACATCGTTTAAATCAGCTCGTCGAAGGAATTATAAAAATGTGAAAATATACAGAATGTTCCGTTTATGAGATATAGCCTGAATGAATTAGACTGGGACACTCTGTACATCCAGTTAGAAAATATCTGGTAAAATAAGGGTAATATTTATTCCTGTTTTCTTTTTAGGTGTCCGGTTATGCGGTATGCAAGTATATGATACAGAAAGAGACTGCTACAATAAAAGAGACAAATATTGGGGACGAGAATTAAATGAAGATGGTTTTAAACATGCTCTTTGTAGGTTCTTTGATAACGGTTATGGAATCCGAAAATCAATCGTTAGAAAAGTTGTTTCAAAATTACAAAAACTACAAAGGGTAATAGAGAAACAAAGTTGTTACAGGTTTTATTCATGGTAAGTTTTATTTTGTCTGTACATAAATATTTGTATTCTTTGTTTTAAAACATAAAATACCAGTTTTAATTTGATTGAGATTCAGGCCTAATAGCAACTGTAACATTTATACATGAAAGCGTTTACAATTTTAAAATATACATTTTTTTTAATAAAAATATTGTCATTACATTGATGCAAATAACTAACTGCAATCTAAAAATCGTACTATACTACGTTCAATTTAAGGAATAGATGTGTAGTAGTGAGCAACATGCGATCAGGACAATAGCTTCTTGGATTGGTTAAATCCTAGGAAGCGAGCAGTGCGAGTTTGTAATAGATGTGGATTAATTAAGGATTCACTCTTATACTACTGTGTGTGCAATGTTATTGTTTGATGTCTCCTTTATTTTAAATGACTTTGACTAGTATGTTCTTGCATACAGGGTGTTTATTAAATGAGGGTGTGAATCCTTAGGTGATTTTATGAAGAAAAGTTAATATCAACATGTTGTAAACCTTTTAATTTTTGAGCTACAGGGTGCTACAGTTTAAAGAAAAATAACTTTTTTATCATAATTCAAGATTTTTTTATGAAATTTTGTACACACCTTTTAATCATTAAGGAGCATTTTTTTGCGTAAAAGTTTTTTATTTTTACCAATGATGTCCGTACGGGGTTTGAACTAAATATTTTGAAGAAAAAAATGGTACACCACTGTTTTTTCTAAAAAAAAAAATTTTGAAATCCTCATTTATTTTGGAGCAAATTTGGTCCATAGACTTACTTTCGTACGAAGCACCTGTTTTCGCGTAAAAAATAAAAATAAAATAAATATTTTCTTTGAAACTGCTTTTGATATTTTGTTGAAATTTGGTAGGCACTCATCATGCGTGGAAGCACGTTTTTTGGAGCAAACAATAATTTTCTATTTCCACCAGTGACGTCCACGTAGACATGATATTGAATAGTGGGTGTCTACCAAATTTCAACAAAATATCAAAAGCATTTTGTATGAATTTAAGGAAAAAAATTTTCCATCCACAAAAATGGTTTTTATTTATTTTTTAAGCGAAAATGGTGCGTCGTACGAAAGTAAGTCTATGGACCAAGTTTGCTCCAAAATAAATGAGAATTTCAAAAATTATTTTGGTTTTTAGAAAAAGCAGTAAAGTATCATTTTTTTTTCTTCAAAAATATCAATTCAAACCCCTTACGGTCGTAATTGGTAAAAAAAATTTAAAAATATTTTACGTCAAAAAAATGCTCCTTAATGATTAAAACGTGTGTACAAAATTTCATAAAAATATCTGGAGTGATAAGAAAATTATGATAAAAAAAGTTAAGTTCAAAATAAAAAGGTTACGACATATGTTGATATTTTCTTCTTAAAATCATCCAAGGATACACACTCTTAAGAATCGGCACTCAATAAACACACTCATATATTTTTTAGTTATGTTAATTTGTTTTTTAGTGTATATGCCTTATCTTTTTTAATAAAATTAATTACAATTACTTATTTCCTTATTGCGTTTACTAGCATGCTCACGTTTTCTTTAACTTGAATATAATATAGACAAATAGAAAATTATTTATATTTTATCCTAACAAACATTTTGTTTTGGCAATTTAACGGCCTTTAAACGTATGTACGTTACTTCAAGTAGCGGCATTTCGGTGGGGGTCTGCAATTGGTAAGTCGACTTTTTGTCACAACGGGCGGCAGAAGGCCGTCGTCATTTTACCAGCAATAAGTAGTGAAAGGCATGGACATGGCCAGCAGTTTTCCATAGTATTCATGTTAACTAGTAGTGAAAGACCAACAGTTTCCCATATTAACTCATCAAAAGGCTTGCATAAGGATCTTATAAAAATGATGCCGAGCTTTTAAAGGGAATGTACCACGTGTTCTACAAAAACTATACCTATTCATAAAATATTCTAAATCAACAACATGTAGAAGTAAGAAAAAGTAAGAAATTACAATGAATACTGAATAGTGAATACCAACAATGCGAGACTGGCCTACAAATCCACTCGTTGAGTATGTAGCAAGAGATCGCCGGTGTCTCCATCTATGACCCTCCTAGACTATTGGGGTTAGGTCGGCGGCAGTTAACAGCCTGTTGACTTTTACCATACTTTTACAGTTAAATGTGGAAAACAGTTAAAAAGCCGTCAACGGCCCATCAAATTATTAAAGTTAAAAGGTAGTTACTTACAAATTTCAAACGAGCCATAATTATTTCACATTTACATGTAGGAAACTGTTAAAAAGCCGATAATAAACCATTAACGGCCTATCGAAAAATTAAAGTTAACGGGCATTTCATTACAAATTTCAAAAGGGCCATAACGAGTTTTCCGTTACAAGTTACTTTGCCATCACATTCATTAAAGGGCCAACAACGTGATGTTTTATTATCTTCTATGCAAAATATATTGTTAGTTTTTGAATTTTTTTCATGTTTCTTTATAATTATTCAAATGAGAATTTAAAAAAAATCAATGTAAATTTTCTTACTTTAATGTATAAAATCTTTTTAAAACTAAAATTTCAGTAATTCTTCAATCTTATGAAAAATTTTTTTTTCAGTTCTCTGTTAATAGTATATGAAGGAAGTAATGAACAACCTGTAACAAGTGAAGAATCTTTCTATTCCAAAGTACTAAAAGCTTGTTGTGATGATGATTTTACTCCAGAAAATCTGAGAGAAGTTCATTATTGTTATGATGCCGATACTTCCAATTCATCAGACTTCAACTCTGCCCAGGAAGATGTTTCTCAAGATGCTCTCCACAGAAGTTTTGGAGAAGCGGCAGCTAGAGGAGCAAATTCGTCTACCTTCTTTCCCATATCCGAAGAAACTGTGTTCTTAAATTCCTCCCCGTCTTCCAGTATTACCCCTTCTAGTCCTATAGACAGTTGGATGTTGTACTCCAATAACAGTAGCAGCGGCGAATATACCTTACCTGATCAATCTAACAGTTCTAGCAGTTCAAATGAGGAAAATTCCGAATCTGAAATGCCAACTCCGAAGCGCAATTGTAAGATGCAGTTTGTTAAAGAGTTGGTAGAAGAAGAGGAAGAAATACTTACCGTTCCAAAGAGGATATTCGTTGAAGAATGTGCTCATTCTCCTTGTTCTGATTTAGCATCGGACGTAGACGTAAGAATAATTGATTTTGCACATACAACGTTCGCTAGAAACAGTGACTTGGTTTCAAAAACTGTTCACCAGGGACCGGATGGTGGATTTTTAACTGGATTGGATAGTCTTCAACGGCTGCTATCACAAATTGTAGACGCGGAAAATTGATAACAATTCATTTGTAGGTAGTTCAGATTATTTAAATGAAATAAATTATTTTTCCAATTAGACGGATTGCTATTTTTCAGAGTAGGTTGGTAAAATTTAAAGAGAAACAGGTCTGTTTCAAGGTTACAGTTAATTGCATCAAACTGAATTTTTTTGGATTAAAATGGGTAGAAATGTTTGTGTTATACTTGTATGATATACTTTATGTGAGAAACTTTTTTATTATTAGTTTTATGAAAAAAGTTATTCTTCATAAAAAGTTCTGCATGGTCTAAAACTAAAAATTCAGTCATTATATATCATATTTTTTCAGCCGTGATCGAGGTTTGTCGAAAAATATGAATTTTATGTAAGCGTAAAAGTACCTTTTATTTTTAACAATAAAGAAAATTATTGTTAAGAAAAGTTGATTAGAATTGAAAACTACGGTCAGAAATTCAATATCATTTTATCTATCGGGAAAAAACATTTTTATGATTTGTAAATTTAAATGTATAACTCGTCTTTATGCCAAAAAGAATTAATAATTGTTTTGTCATAGAGTGATAATATTAGATATATGGCCATTGGTTTTAATTTTGATCAACTTTTCTTAATAACAATTTTCGGTATTGTTAATAATAAAGGTACTCTTGCCCAAAATTCATATTTTTTTATGGACCTCGTACATGACTGATGGTTGAATTTTTTGATTTTAGACCATGCAGAACTTTTTTGTTTTCCATAAAACTAATAATTAAAAAGTTTTCAATATATAGTGCCTACTTAAGTACATATAAGTAATTCTTTACTGACCCTACACTGTGCACTATAATGTCTATAATACATACAAATATATTTTTATACCTTTTTTAGTCAACACATTTTCACAGAATTAATAACTTTTGAAGGGGGATTTGGGTAATTCATTTTAAAAAATTGTCTAGATAAAATAGTTTATGATCCATCCTTAGAACATCATTAAGTACCTCCTATATGATTATTATTTTATTGCAAAATTAAATTGCGAAATGTATATTTTCAAAATAGATGCTACTTTAAACAAATATTGAGAATTTGAACGAAACATGGTCAACGCATATTGTTTTTCTCTTACTGTTTACTATGTTGTTTTAATCAAAACTCCTCCCTTTTTTGTAACACTTTCCAAGTAAGTAAATTCATCATGAAATGTATTAAAGAAACAAAAGATTACAACCAAAAAAATTAGAGATTACAACATTTCGCTGTCCCAGTTCAAAAGTGTAACATCTCCAAATCAGCCATTTTGAGACAAATTACTTTAAAGATTTTTCTTTAGTAATTTGTAAAATTTTTCTTTACTAATTTGTAATTTATTATTAAAATGAATATTTTAAGATATAGTGTGAATTATTGTAATAGATCTTACCTTTCTTGCTAAGAATACATTCTTATCTCAAACCCCAATATTTTTGAGATGTTATAGTTTTGAACTGGGACAGCGATTTAACATTCAATTTTATCAAAGTTCAACCATGATTACGTTCATTGTCTCAAGGAGCGATAACTGATTTGTTTAGAGCGAAAAGTAATACTTTTCAGCATACTTACATAAATAATTCTTTATGAACTTGGGAGTTCTGTTAAAAATGCCATAATTATAGATGTGTGATTCTGTATTTTTATATGGTGTGTCGCTAGAAGTCTGCAACAAGAAAATACGAAAAACTATTATCCAGTTGCTACAAAGAAAATTAAAATACAATGTGCCGGTAAATATTGAATTTAAACCAACAATTTTATATATACAAATAGTTTTTTAGGTTTAAATCATGAACCAAGTTTTATCAAGCATAACATTTTTTTGAGAAATCAACACACTTATGGTGCAGACTTATTGCGACACCCTGTATATTGCATATCTCTATGAAAAAGTCAAGATCATTCATTCCACTTAGCCCTTACACTAACAAGCTTGTGTACCTAGCAAAACAATATTTTTTAATGAAGTATTAAAAAATCGGTAAAGTATTTTACCCCCAGAACTTTCCTCGATATAGAAATTGCAAAAACAGGGAATTCCTGTTTTAACAATTTAACATTAAAATCACGAAACCAAAAACCCTTTTTCACATTCATCTCTCCATTGATCTTCCTCTTGATCCCACCCGAAATGTCACTTCGCGTCCGCTCGAACGTTATTGAACGATAATGAATGGCTGCTTTTATAATGAATGCTTTTTATCATTTTCATTCAAGGGGGGCCTTTTTTAAATAAATGCGATTTCTTTCACCGCCATTTTTAATTTTTAGAATCTTATTTAGGATCTGTTATCTTTGACTTATAAAATTCTCAGATACCAATTTAAGTCAAAATCTGCCTACTTTTAAAAATAAATTATTTGTTTAAAATTGCTCACCTTGTATATTTAAAACAACTATACAAGATCGTACATAACTTGATTAAACGTTAAAACCGCGATTCAATACAAAAAACACTCTGCCTTCGCGACCAAGATAAGCGACGTTGAAAAGTTCCATTTGTTAAACTCCAATAATAGATCACATACATTTGTGACAGATCCCGTAGCATCCCATACAGCACAAACACATTTCGGAAATATTTCAACAATGTTACATTGAAACATCTGCAATGTTGCATAAATATCACGAAACATCCTGGAAACATTTCTGAAAAATGTCCTCTAAATATATTATTTCACAGTAATATTTCTGAAATGAAAGTTATAAATCTTTTAGAAATATTAAATAGTAATATTTCAGAAATGTATTCTAGTTTTTTTTTTGTAATATATTATTAGAATAAAAAAAAAGACATTTAAAAATATACTTGTTTATTTAAAATACACAAAACTCAAACACTGATTCTTAAACAAACAAATAAATATGTTTTAAAGAATATTTCATAAAATATAGAACCGAATTTCCACCAATTCCTTTAAATGCACTAATCGGAAACAAAATATAGGTAATTAAAAAGGATTTATACAAATTATTTGATTAACAATAGTTTTATTAATATTGTTTTAAATTAACTATAATAAAACAATACTCATGTCTAAACAAAACATGAAGATCCACCTAAGCAAGCGTTATTTATGTAGTTCTCACCTTATTTTCTAAATTATTTTAGAAATATTTCAGAAACTTGTGCTTGAAATGTTATATGTTTGAAATATTTCTGAAACACTTCTGAAATAATATGGGATAGTAACGCTCTATATTCAGAGAGCACATATATCGTATATTTATGTAAATAGCAAGTATAACGTGACAGTATATTGGTTTAAAAACATTGTTCCCTTGCTTCAAAAATGATTTTCTACACAAGTATAACACATTATGCTGTACACTAAATTAAAACAAAATAGAGAACAAAAAAACTTAACTATTGGCAATCCAAACTAAGCGATACTCCCTCTGGGGTTACATTTTATAACATATTGTGTAAATAGGGAACTGTTGTTATTAAAATTGGAACAAATCTACATTGAAGTAGAATAAAGACGATGCTGAAAGTGTTCGCATTTTTTCAATACACTTTTACTTTATATGACACCTTGAGCTAGTGGAAATAGTCAGTTTTGGTGAGATAAACGCCATTTTTTTTTAAATGGCTTCATTTAAATTATATAAAAACATTTTCATTCCGTCAATCTTGAAATATAAAATTAATTCTTTCAAATTAATCAAAATACGACTCGTAATTGGCCATTTTAATTACACTTTTCCGTCACTCGAAGTTCGTCCATCTGTCGTATCGCAAAATAGTGTTTATGTCGTCTCTACTTCATTCTATCTCTATACAAATCTATGATTATTTTATTAAAGTGGAACTCTAACCTATAATTCTCAATGTCATAATTGCAGTGAGAAAAGTATTAGCTGTAACCGTTATACGGAAATTTTGACACTAGGAATAATGTCTATAAATGATACTTTTCCTATCAGTCAAAATTATATTACGTCTCTTTCCCCGGACAAGCTCAGCTTTTGGGGTTAAAATTCACTCGTAAGGGGGTGAATTAGAGAGAGTATAATTATTAAATAAATTAATTGGTATCACAACACTGTGGTGTTTTACCTACGGGAAAATTAGTTCGAATCGCGAATCAGTTCAATATTTAACAACTGACGCTGACAAGCCCTAAAACTTAAATAAACAGCTGATACAATGCAACTAGATGTGGGTTGTTTAAAATTTTATACTATTTTTATAATTTTATTTTGTTTTTAATTCAATATAAGTGAAGTAAATGCATTTTTCTACTCATATTCTTTAATTTATTTATTAGACATTCATTACCTGTACATGCCCTTAAGATACAGATCTTCATTAAGATACAAGTTTACAGCCAATAAAAATGCAATATCACAGCAAAATTTGGTAAAAATCATATATGCCATGAACATCTGACAGATCTAAAATTTATCACTTTGGCCTTTTATTGTCAGATTTAAGTTAGTAAAAATCCTGAAAATTATAAAATCGGCAAAAATGTATAGTGACAATAATGAACTAGATAATCTAACTCGACCAGAAATTGTGGAACAGGCCATAAAAGCCACAAATTACTACCATCAAAATCCACAAAAGTATATGAAACATTTATTGTCAATTCATGGATTGGAGGGACAAGAGAAATGCAAATAGTATGAGAGCTCACTGCAAATTTCGACCGTCATCTGAACGAAATGAAATATGCTCCAATGGCATGTTACAACATTGTACTTTACCAAATTGCACCTGTGCCAATCCCTATCCTGAGCAAAGTGGTTAAAAAAAATATTTTATATTCAAAAAATCACATAAAACATGACAGCGACAATTATGTTTTCCCTGAAAATTACAACCCTAATTCATTGTGAACCTAGCTTTTGAACCTGAGTTATTAATATTTTTACCTACCTTTTAAACCATGTTTATGTATGAAAGGAAGAAGGATGGCATTGTATAAACCATTTGCAGAGATAGTCAATAATATTTATAAACTCTTGTTAGACAATTATTTTAAACCATAATCATAGTAGTTTTTTTGTCGTTTCTATGGCAGCCTGTAAAAATGAATCACAACAATAGGCATACAAATAAATTTTTAAATCAGCAAACATTGATTCATATTTTTAATGATATTTACCTACTAATCGTGGATAGATGTTTTTGTGCGATGTTAAGAGGAAGAAAATGTTTCCTTTTAACGATATATGTCAAGATATATTTGAATGTTATTTTTTAGAAAACTTTACAAAATTAGCGCTGTCATGCCTTATGTGATTTTTTTAATATAAAATAATTTTTTTAAGCCACTTTACTCAGGTTTGGGATTGGCACAGGTGCCATTTGGTAAAGTACAATGTTTTTCCAGGTTTTTGGGGTATATTTCATTTCGTTATCAGATGACGGTAAAAATTTGCAGTGGGCTCTTGGGCTAAAACACGTAGGTAATCAAATTTTGAATTCGATTGAATATAGCCAAACCAACAATTCAATAAATATTATTTCATCAATATCAACAACGGCATTAACCAATATTGTTACAAAACTGCCTTCTGTACCACAGTTGCATTTTAATAACTGTATTATCAAAAATATAACCATAAATCAAAAATAGTATCGAAATGAATAAGTCTAATACTTCCTTTATTTGTTAAATTTTGATTTCTATGGTTGTTTGTGATAAAGTTTTGATGTTTATTTAGTTCTTCCTCTATAAGTTTAATAAATTTTGAAAATAAATTACTTATTTTTCTTCATTATAATTTAATGGTAGAAAAAATAGTGTATGCAACTCACATTTAATGGCTATTAAGACACTCGTATTCATTACGACACTCGCTAAGGCTCGTGTCGTAATTCTCATACTCGTGTCTTAATAGCTATCATTAAATGCTCGTTGCAATATACTATTAACAAGAATCCTTTTATATTATTAGTAATAATTACAAGCTACCAAAATAATATATAGATTCGAGGGACGCGCAGGACTTTAATGGGTTTTATAAGATTGAAATTTTGCCTGGATTACAAAAAAAATGCCAATTTAGATCGAAAGAGTCGCAGTTTTTCTCAATTTCCAAAATAAAAGTTTCATATGACGTTAAAACAAATGCCGGTTGACTGTTATTAGATTATTTTAAATGATCACAGACCTAATATAGTAACTAGACAAATATAATTCGCCGATGTAACTTACAATGCAGGATTATTACTATTAGCTTCAAATGGTGGCATATGGGAAAACTCACAACAATTACATTAAATAAAACGTACTGGCTAGCCGACCGCCGGCGGTAGTTGAATTTAATAAAACGAAAACCGTCTTCCGGCGGCATGGTCTTATCACATATAAAAAAGCCGCCGAAAATCTAACCTGATTTGTTGATCAGGGCGACATGCTATCAATGCATTGATAAATGCCGCCGGACGACGGTCTACTGTATTTAAAACTTTGAATGCCGTCGGAGAAATTGACATAACCTCATTTCTTCCATTTCTATGTGAATTTTCACTTGTTGAATATTAAATAAAACTTAGACACATGGAAACGATCAATTTTATTACAGAACTAAGAACATTTAAAATAAAAAAGGTACTTCTAATGAAAATATATTTTTGATTCAATTGACCAGTATTTATGTATTCGGAACATTTGTTTGTTGTGCTGGTTGTGCCAATCTCTTTTTTCGTTTTGTGCTTAACCCAATGACAGTATTAGAACGACCTTTCGGCCTACCTCTTTTTTTCATGGCAATGGGCATTTTTATTTCATCTATATTTAGAACTGATGCAGTGCTTGTGGAAGGTACGGAAGGGCCATTTTCTTCTTTTGAAACCACATCTAATACTCCCAATTTCACAATTTGTAGCAATATTTGGATCGTTATTGTATATAATTGGTAAATCATTATGTGTGACTTTCATAATAGTAATATTATCATTTCGTCCCACATCTGGAATGCAATTTTCATCAACATCCTGAGCAAATAGTGCAAATATGGGGGGCTACCTTGCCCGAGCTTGTATGCAGTGCACTAAGTTTGAGATGTTAAAGAAATCACACTTACCTTGCTAATAGTGTGGTTATGCCTCGGGTTATGCTTAGTTCCTATACTTAATATTTGTAGCTTAGTACCACACATTGAAGCTCTTAAAGTGATATGGGCATTGCATCCAGACCTGTACGTACTAAAAAAAGAAAAATCCAGCTTTTTTATTTGCGTAAATCTTAAATCTCGAATAAAAGTGGTCTCAAATTATTACCTTGTCATTTTCTTTCCTTTTCCAGTCGGGTTGAACGTTCTCCCACCATTAATGCATGTATATTTCAATTGGTAATATTTTAATTTTGGATCTAGAAAACGATCGATTTTTTTCTGGCCGCTGAAATTGTTCTGGCATCTCTCTTCCAGAAGAATACAAATTCTTGTTTGGAATAATTATCTAAGTCGTTCAAAAAGTCTTCATAAGTTTCAAATACGTCTCCTAACTTCATATTTATCACTCAGAAACAATATTAATATTCAACAAGTGAAAATTCACATAGAAATAGAAGAAATAAGGTTGTCAATTTCTCCGACGGCATTCAATGTTTCAAATACAGTAGACCGTCGTCCGGCGGCACTTATCAATGCACTGATAGCATGCCGCCCTGATCAACAAATCAGGTTAGATTTTCGGCGGCTTTTTTATATGTGATAAGACCATGCCGCCGGAAGACGGTTTTAGTTTTATTAGATTCAACTACCGCCGGCGGTCGGCTAGCCAGTGCGTAAATAAAAACCAGTTAATATTCTGAAATTGTTATGTATTTTATTGTATCTCTTATTAAATAGTTATTTGACTTTGTCGCACTATTGAGACAATCTGAATAATAAAGATTCTAATAATCATTTCATACTAAAAAATAATTCTAAAATGATGCAAATAACGTAACTTTGGGCGATTATTCTCTAATAAAAAAGATCTGTAATAAAAATGAATCTGTTTTTTTTTTTCAATCAGTGTTATTGGTTTAACATGATTTTTCTCAATAATAATAATTTAGAAATGTTCCAGAACTATCAGGATATTTAAGAGGACAAAAATACAAAAATAGTATTGTTTTTCTCTAAGACGACATTTAATAATCTTATTCATTTTTGGCACAAAATTTAATACATATAAAACATTTCAATTTGCTTTTTATATCAGATATATTTGTGCTTTGACTGAACGTCTAGATACCAGAATATATATTCATTAATTGACATAAATTTTAAATAAGAGAAATTTGATAAATAACTTTCTCATATCATCTCATATACTATTTTGGTCTCTGTTACGGCCCCTTTTTATCTTTTTAAGTAGTCTGAATAGATTTGAACATTGAAATTTGTTATATACAAATAAATTTAGAAATAATGCACAAGTTAAATTTACAGGTTAATACAAACATGTTACTTCTACAATGAAAATAAAATCCACCACAAAAGAGAATATTAAATGGTCATTTAAAATTTCTACAATTTTTTATATTTATATTTTCCCCCAGACTATTACTTTTAACGGATGTTTATTATCATCTAAAAAATGAAGAATAATAATTTTATTTCATTTGGTTCAAGCATTACTTACTTAGAATGCAAAAAATGGGAATTGCTGCTTTAAACATAAGTAGTCTGAAGTTTTATATAAAAACATTTTAGTTTTCTCAGTTTATGATTTTATAAATCAAATGACCATTTTATTTTCCCTTTATTAGAGTATCTATCTAATGTAAGAATGTATACGTTTTGTCATGGCTCATCTAGTGTTTATACATCATTAAAACAAAAAGTTTTTACAAAGCAAAGGTAAATATCTCAAATGTCAAATTAATACATTATTTTCTGCACTCTGTTGAAGAATATTTCATTCATTTAGTTCTAAACTAATAAAAATCCTTATAACATTTTTTTAATTTTGAGAATTTTATCTCATAAAATTATAAACTAGGTGTACATCACAACTGAAATTAGTTTTTTTTATAATCAAATAATGATACTATCATGTTAAACATATAATACAAAATTCACTTCTGCCAAAATAGTTTAAATCTCAGGTTCATAATAGAAACTCACTTTTTACATTCTCAGAATAAACGAAAATATATCTGGTTTTCGAGTTAGTCGGGTGCTAGGTCTTTTTAATTGTGTTCTCTAGAAATATAGTGATTAAAGGTAAAAAGAGGCAGAAAATTTTTATCTAGTAGATTGTTGAATATTTTTCATTGCAAATTAAAAAATTATTCTTTTAATCTGTGATTTTTGACTAGTAGTTACATGTTTAATGATGTGAGAGATGGATGAATGCAATTTCTAGACATTCCGTTAGGATGACTTATTATTGAATACGTTTTTATAGATTCTTGAAAATATGAACAAGCATTTTTCATAAATTATCCATAATATCAAATTTTTGTTTAATGTATTACATTTTATAATACATAACAGTTACAATAAGTTGTTTTCAAATTATCCAAATAAATTGGTGTCATTTACATTTTTCAATAAGAATCTTACAACGTTTTCAACCTCTCTAAAATCATAAACAATAAAAAGAGAAGACATTTTTATTTGTATAGTTTACATTTTCAAGATATTCCAAACATATAATTATTTCAGTGTTTTGTGTTTCAATGTATAGTTTATAATCTGTTAAATTTATAAAAGTTTTTTACTCAATGGGCGATTTTTGTTGTTTTATTTTTATGACTCAAATATAAATTAGTTACTTCCCAAAAAGGGACCAGTTTTATAGTAAGTTTAATTTTTAAATCGTATTTAAAAAAAAATGTTTAGAAATTCGAATGCTTTATGTTTATTATAGATTGTACAGTATTACTGGAACTTGAAGCTTGATCTCTTAATAAAGGTTAATTTACAATAATTCAAATGTTTTTGTTATTAAATAACAAATATATTTTAAATAAAATTTGTTTATTTTAAGAACTATTTATATTTTTTTTGTAAATGTTTCTAAATAAAATTAATTTTACAGCGTTGAGTTCCTTTCTTCTGTACTTATAAATAAAAATATTTGAACAAATAATTTGTTTAAATTAAATTCCATCACTCCTTTTCTGAAAATACTTTTTAATATAAATACATAGGTAAGTATTGGGTAAAAACATGGGTCAACTTTCGTTTAGCTGAAATTAGTTACCTAGAAACTGTTGCCATGGTAACCAGTAAACAAAATCGCAAATCCGTGGTGAGGAAATGCATAGTTGCCAAGTATAGATGATTTAATTTAGCTGAAATCAGTTAAAAAGAAACTGTTGCCATATGAATACTTATCATGGTAACGAGTAAATAAAAACCCAAATCCCATGGTGAGGAAATGCGTAGTTGCCAAGTTATAGATAAATTAATTTGACTTTAGCTAAAATCAGTTACGGAGAAACTGTTTGCATATGAACCCTTGTTGTTCGGGAAAGAACATTTACTTTAATAATTTTGTTAATATTTAGGGTCTGGTGAAATACTTTGATTTGGTATGCAGATTTAATTATTTGCACTTGCCTAAAATAGGCCTGTGCTAGGACGGTTTCAAATAAAAAAGGAGACTCGGTCGGTCGTTAGTATTTGAATAAGAAAATTCATGTTGTAATCCGTAGTGACCTTTTGTATAAGTTATATATCGTTAACTTGCTTTAGAAATTACTCTGGAGTCTCAGGACGTCCACTCACTGACAGATTATTGCGTTACACATTGAACATAGAACATCAAACGTCGGTATCGCCACCAAGTGGTCCCTTTGCACCGTCGCCAACCATTGGAAAAGACAAGCATCAGCGTGTAACAGGTGAGTCAAAATATTTTGCTATCACCAAGGTACTTCGAGTTATAAATACCTCATACTACGTTTGTGGATGGGGGGCAGTTCACACGGGAATTGTCATAATTTGCTTTGAAGCCAATAACGAATAAACAAAAATCGAAATCCGTGGTGAGGAAATGCGTAGTTGCCAAGTTATATATGATTAATTTAACTTTAGGTCAGCTGAAATCAGTTACGGAGAAACTGTTGCCATAGGAACACTTGTCAAGATGATGAATAAACAAAAACTCAAATCCCGTGATAAAGAAATGCATATTTTCCAAGTTATAGATGATTTAACTTTAGTGTAGCTGAAATGAGTTACGGAATAACTGTTTCCATAGGGACACCGGCACATACAATTAATCTAAAGTCATCTGAGCCTTGAACAAATAACCCCAAAACT